TTATACTCTTATACTATTCAATTCTTTAAGCCAGAGTTTGTCTGCTCTATTTCAGGGTAACACTCAAGCCGTTTAGGAGATGATTCCTGTCCATAGCAATTCCAACAAAAGAAGCATGAACGATACTACAGTTACTCTTCTTATTGTTAAGTTTGTTTCCATCCTTCCATTTTACCTGTATAAAGAGTAGAGCATCTTCATGGAGTCTGAGGTTTGCCTGTGCTCACTTAACACAGAGTGTCACAAAAAATCTTGCAGTTGAAGGAAGTGAAGCTAATTAACAGCTCTACAGGACAGTGACCAAGGGATACTGCAAGGAAATTTGCTTAGAAGGAGCTCAGGGGTCGAGGGACTTTGCCTCTAGAGACCTGTTTGGTTTGACCAAAACAACCAAAGGTTCTAAAAGCTCATAATAAGGCACTAGAGAGGAAGAGGAAAGCGAGAGTGGAATATCTTTTGTTTAACAACTTTGTGCCATTTTGTTGGCCATTTTACAAATATTAGAAACAATATTTGAAAATAAACATATAAAACAGATAATTTTATTACAATCATATTGATCATCTATAGAAGCCAATATGCTTAACTTTGTATAGTTAAATATTAGGGAAATGTACATAAATACTTCCTTTCTTAAACAATTATTTATTGAGTAATTAAGGTTGTGCACAAAGATTTAGTTTTATGCAAGTTTGCTCCAGTCAACAGAGTTTAAGTGAAACGACTGAATTATTTACCAATTCATGAGAAATTAAAGTCTTTATGTGACATCCACACCCCCAAATACTCTGAAGCTATTCTAAAGCATTTTCAGACTCTTTATAGTTAAAATATATTGTTGAGTGAAACATTAGATAGCAAAAGAGATTGCATAGTATGTTTCTGAGCTTATAAATATATCCTTAGAAATTAAGAATAAGCTTTTTCAATGAGTACTTTGGAGAGTAAGATTGCTAGGCAAGAAAACATGGACTTAAGCTTTAAACTTTGCATACTTATACCTGCAAAGATACTGCCAGGACACTCAAGGTAGATAACTTGAGAAGAGTTTAATAATGGGAATATTTACAAAGCTGAGGCAGTGTAAAGGAGAACAAAGGCGGGAGCGCTCTCCCAGGCTAGTAACAGCAGGAGAAGTCTACC